TAGTCTACAAGGTGCATGCGTTCCGAGTAAAGAAAATCACATATTCTTCTTCGTCTTTAAAAAAATATCGCACAGAGTCCATAACATTTCGCAATGGATACGGACTGTGTTGTACATTTAATGGGGAGCGGTGGTAAAAATACAGGTACGATGTTATATGAGTGGACATTTTACGGTCTTAAAAAATATCAGAATATAAAACTTTTTAAAAGCCTAATTATAATCCTTTTTCGGATATAAAATATAAAGATGACATGATTCTCTATCAAACAACCGGTAAAACGACTGGTCAGGCTCCAAATCATTCGGCAATTAAAAAACTTTTTAAAACCTAATTATACTCCTTCCTTGAGTATAAAATATAAAGAAGACGTGAGTCTCTATTAATTGACTGAAAGAAAACATATCTCCGCTTATGGTTTTTATAAAATATAATAGAATATGCATGACCATCGTAAATCCATGTGAAAAATGCATGCTACATAAATAGTATTTTCTTGCCGAGTACGGTTTCTGCAGGAGAATGAAAAGCAGTGTTTTCAAAAGCTGACATCCTGCCGAGTCCTAAATATTATAGGATTATGCCGCAAGATAATCAGTATTACAACCGCGACCAGAGAATCCTTCCTAATCGAAAACGCATTTCAGAATTTCAGCAAACATTTCGTGAGACCGGTCACTCACTGTACTTGCGATGGGGTTCATTCAGGCAGACTCGGCCAGCGGCAAATTGCGAGCGCAAACGGCTCCTACTTGTCGACATACCTGCTGGTTATCCGGTTCGTTCGCGCGGCCTACGACGAAGTATTGTTGAAAATTATGCGGGCCCTAGTGTCTGACGGCTAATTATCCGCGGCCCACCGGCGACAGTACCGGCAGAATGCGTTCTGATACAGTAGAAAACGCCCTTCTTTCTCCACCGCGGTCTCGCAGGCTGTACAGCCACCAGGAAGCGAGGTTCAGGCCTTGAGGGCTGTCTTAATCAGGAAAGTACTTTAACTGCCGCTCCCAGCTAACACCACTTTATAAGTTTGCGAAATGCAATAAAACTTTCAGATGCCAATGAAATTCAGCAGTTTCATAGTAAAGGTCAGATACGGTTATTTAGCTTCGTCTGAAGTAAACAAACTCCAGCCACGTGTAATACGGACCGTTGGCAATACGGACTTTACGGGTGGGGCCGGGGAACTCACAGGCGGCGAGGTCAAGTACTTGTATGCAAAAGAAAAGCTACTGGGAATGCGCGGTTGTACTTTGAGTCGTTGAGAAATAGTTCCCCTAACCCTTTAACTGCAACTCCAACACTATTGAGTCCATCAGGTGGGGCTGCATAACCACATCTTACCGTCAGTCCCTGAAGTGGTTGACAACCCTAGTCTAACGAAGTACCAACTTAAATGGTCGACTTTCACGCGTCTGTGGATGCCCCCTGTTATAACCTGCAAACTATGTGACCCTCTGATACTCTCGACCACAGCCTTCCTTTCAGTCTTAGTTGCTGCAAAGAATAATTATCCATCGATTCACATTAGCTCCTCCCCATTCCAGATCATTCTGGTTCAGTCGCATTTACCTACATACGTGCGAGGCAACTGCTGTCATTATCAAATTGAAGACGGGCAACGGCATAGAAAAGGACCCCACCTAACTGTCAGTGGACTGTGAATCGTGTCGTATGGGGTTTTGTCTTGGCATGCATTTGTAGGCTGTTGCAGAAATTACACTGCTAACAACGTTTACTTCCCATGACCTCAAACCATAACGCAAATTTTGCTATTGTTTGAGATTTGCTTTTTGTTTGTTGTTTAATTACCCCTCTTATTTTAGTTGTCGTACAATGGCGTAGGATATGACTCTCCGCATAAATCCAGGCAATTCCTGGGCTTTCCTGCACTTTGTCAGTTTACTGTCTAGCGTGCTGCCCCACCCATAAAACTCCCTTTACCATAGATCACATATGACACGATCCACAGTCTACTGACAGTTAAGTGGGGTCCTTCTCTATACCGTTGTCTGAAGACATTCCAATGAGCTGCCAGGAGCGGAAAGGGAGAGACGGGATTAATTAACTATTTAGGGTGCGGGACCCTTCTTTGTGACTTCCATCGCACCCTCTGGACGAGATTCACCTCCGGCGCTCGCTATTAAGGTGGCCAAGAAACGAGTCTCCGGTGGATGTCTGGTGTCCTGAGCTAGACATCGTGACCTTTGGCAGAGGGCCAAACTACGTCCTCGCCGCAATCGCTCTGCAGGTGACTGGCACATTGCTGTTCTTCCGGCTCTTTCGGTTTATTCGCCTTCCGGCGCGTCGCACACTGGGGGGCGCAGAGACCGATGCGTCAGACTGTCTGGAAATTTAAAGAAATTTGACACAAAAGTGCGTGAAGCACGTTGGACTGGTGCTCGTCAATTTTGGTGCGGGAAAGACGATGATTCTACTATGTTTTGTCCGGCTTTGGGGTATGTCCAGCTGGGAAATTAAGTTTATCAATGAGATTGGGCCACTGATTGGGCCATGTGCTTGTACCTACATATTGGCATCAGACGTGGTGCTAGCTGGTTTGTCTGACGTTCCCGATGCGGGCCATCTGTCCTGTACGGTGGTAGTACGGATTTACGCATTTATTGGCTTTTTGCGGTATCTACTGCACCCGTACCTCCCCGGGGGCCATCGTGTTCAGATGATGAGACGAGGTTCAGATGATTGGAGATGGCGCAGCCGCCGTGCGGACGTAAAACCCGCGTTTACGCACGCTGCCGGTTGGACGGGATTTCATCAAGTGGGGCCTTGCAAGGACGCTGGTTTCTCTCTAAAGGCCACATTGAAAAGTGACTACTGCAGCCTCAATCTCTGTCCAAGGAAAAACTTGATGGCCTTGTTATTTGGGAGTCTGCGATGCCACAATTTATAGCACACTGCGACAATTTGAAAACGAGCTGGATTTTTTGTGTAGCGATAAAGGTCCACATTGAACCAGCCTCTTCTTCTGTCATATGTTAGAGACCAGTTGTTGTTTGGTTGATTGGAGACGAAATCCGACTCAGTGGGTGACTTGACATAGAACTTTCGTTTAATGCGTGGTAAAGAGCCTGGATAGGCTGTAACCTCGCAGTCCAGCTTGAATCTTAATTTAACTTGTGTGGTTAGATGACAGTAAAGCAAGTGGTCTCAATAATAGTAGGTTTCCATATCCGCTAGGTTAGGTAAACGGAGGTTATTTTCAAGAGAATTTCCTCAAGGCAGGGTAAGTAATTACGTGAGTGCACATTAAAGATTTTAGTCCATATACCATAAACGCCATTACTTCTATAACCTGATTGGCTGGCGAGACATTTTTGAACGTGCGCAATATCACATTGCTCGTACGGTGTGTAAGTGTGTGGGTTCAACAGGTAAATTAGTCAAATATATTACTCTTGCTCCTTTAGACTATCAATGACGGCTTATATACACTTTCTGGAACCTGTTTGGGTATTTTAAATAGCGAAGGTGTCGAAACGTCCATGAGCTCTTAATATGTTGTCTTAAACTCCTGGTTTCTAGATAAGACACCACGGTCATGGCTTATCTGCCATAGTCAACCTGTATCTGGAAAGTCCAGTATTTGAGATTGGGTCTATTGAAGGTTGAGGTTAATACTTTACCAGGTGACGTTTGCTGGTCCGGCCTGATTGGTAGAGAGAATGTACAGAAGGTGGGCTAACTCATGAAATGTCAACCGAAATTCCGAAATGCCTTTACGTTTCGAAAAGATTAATTAAGGTGGGTTGTAGAGCTAGTCAGCCTGCAACATAATTCTTTAATTATAATGCAGCTATCTCAGGATGCCGGCTTTCGAAAGAACCTCTTTCCGAATGCATGCAAAAACCATATTCTGTAAAAAATGACTACATATGTAGTGTGGAGTGTGTTTTCGTTTCGAAAACACTAATTAAGTAGGGTTGTAAAACTAGTCAGCCTGCAGCATAATTCTATAATGTTTCAGTTACCTCAGGATGTCGGCTTTCAAATAAACTTCTTTCCGGCTGCATGCAGGAACCACTCTCTGCAAAAAATGACAACTAATGTAGCAAGCATTTTTCTCATTAATTTTCGATGTCCTTAAAAAGTCAATTATATTTTAAGAAAAACATGCATACTAGTATTAATTCCTTTGCTCATTCGGTAGAAAGTGACGTCTTCCAATTTGATACTCGAAGAAAGAGTGTAATTTGGTTTTAAGAAACTTTTCCAGTTCCCGAATATTTTTGAACTCGACCTGCCGAGTTTCCAAACTACAAGTCGTATATTTTGCGTGTACGGAAACCCGTAAATTTCTCTACAGTATTCAGAGGAGATCAATGAGGTTCATAGAATTTAGCAGTGGATTTAAGCCATATTGTTAAATTTGAAAACAACACTAATAAATGCAGAGACATGACGTTTTATGAACGTCCATTTCACGGTGTTAAAAAAATCTCACAATTAGAAACTTTTTTAAAACCAAATTATACCCTTCCTTCGCGTATAAAATTGAAATAATGCGTAATTTTCCACCGAATGAGTAGAATAATGAATATTTTTATGCATGTTTTCCGAGAAATATAATTGACTTTTTAAAGGCATTGAAAATCAATGAGAAAATGCATGCTACTTAAGTAGTCATTGTTTACAGAGTGTAGTTCTTTCATGCCGCCTAAAAGAAGTTCATTCAAAAGCCGGCATCCTGAGGTAGCTGAATTGTGATAGAATTATGCTGCATAATGATCAGTTTTAAAACCCTTCTTGATTAATCCTTTTGAAACGAAAACGCATTTAGGAATTTCGCTGGACATTTTATGAGTTAGCCCGTCTACTGTAGGTATTCCGTTTTGTCTTGAATGTCCTGTCTAGAACCATTACAGTTAAAATCTGTCACAGTCAGGCTTTAACAGGTAAAAATTTTGTTTTGGCGGCCTGGAAGAATAGCCTATAGCCTGATATTGTACAAGCTTTGCTGATCTCCACTCACAGGTCAACCATGTACTCCAAGGAGCAGTCCTATGATATGGAGCAACAGCAAGAGCTACTGGACAACAACGTGGACACCAACGGTGTCATGGAGTCAGGTCGATGCAACAACAACGGCAGTCTCGGCTCACTGGGTGGTGTTCGTGTCTCCGGCATGACGGGAGGACCGGCAGACGGCCTCTATGACGGTCACGGTGTGGTACCCAGCTCTCTGGCAGTTGCTCAGCAACAGCAGCAGGGCACCAATCTGCGATACGTCACCCTGCCCCAGATGCACCACCAGCTCGGCCTCAATCACGTGATCCCCGGCGAGTATATGCACGTCGCAGCGGGCTACCCCGGCGGCCCCAACTCCGGCAACCATGTGGTGAGCATGCAAAACCCCGCCCTCATCAGTGCTGCCATCAACTCCCAGGCCTATCAGACCCTACCGCCCTCAATGAGCCAAATGCAGGCCAATACGACGCAGGCTCCAACACAGTCCTTCGATCGGTGTCCCGCCATCTGCAGCCTCTTCGCCATCTTCTGCTGTCCCATCACCTGTTGGTGCTCCTTCCCCGCCCTGGTCTACTCTGTCTGCGCCTACAGCGACTATCGAGCCAGTGACATGTACGAGTACCGTAGCAAAAGCGATGTCGCTCGACGCCTGGTCATCATCGCTTGCATCATCGGTCTGATTCTGTGTATATGCTGGGCCATCTTGACATTCCTCTACTATGAACCCATGCTAGCCCTTCTGGGTGACATTATACGCGCGGTGCAGAGACACCTGCGCTTGGCGCTGTAGTCCGCTCTTTTTTTCATGCAATTCTTCGAGGTCTCATTAGCCCGCTCACAACCCCACCCCCTCCCCAAAAATGTTGGATTTCGTTAACTCCCCCCCTCCCCCACGTGCGCCAAGAAGCCCCACCCCCCTTCGCATGAATTGAGGGAGCATGAACTGCCTAACCCCGCTGCTCCGTATCTCATCCTGCCAAACATTTCTACCGCCCCGCCGCCACCACCACCATCATGTTCATTCTCCGATCTTGCCTATTATTTCCACCTCTGGAGTGGTTCTCGGGTGTTTGAAGTTGTAAAGCCTTTTTTCTAAACGCGCGATCTTCTGTTAGACCAGTTTCTGGTCGCAAATGTCTGTTACCTACTAGCGTGATTCTGGTTTGAGCCTAATTTGAGCAGATGACACCTATAGATGTTTTGGCAGATTTTTAATAGTTCATATCGACCCAACTGTGAAAAACTCGGCGTCTCGGTGGGATTCGAACACACGACAGTAAGGTGAAGGCTTAGTACCGCCAACGCTCTAACCACCTGTGTTATGAGGCCCCGCCGGACGACGCGGGTTTAATCCCGTTTGGGTTAAGTTACCTGTCCAACCTACTTCAACGTCTGGAATCCACCAAATGTAATACAGTATGTTGACTGCCCAAGCAGGATTTCCTAAGTAATTCACCTAGAATCCACCAGATGACTACTAGGCTCACGTAATTCATAGATGCTTAGACAGATTTCGAATGATTAATATGATTCATGTGTGATTGAACTCGCGTCATTCGGCGGGGCCTCGTAGCTCAGGTGGTTAGGTCTTTGGCGGTACTGAGTCTTCACTTTTCTGTCCTGGGTTCGAATCCCACCGAGGAACCGAGTTTTTCACAGTTGAGTCAATATGAATAGATGACATTTAGTCAATTTGTAACTAGCGTCACCGATAACGCGCAAATCTAGTCTAAACCGAAATTGAAGTCGACAGAAGCCTACAGGCGAGTCTCAGGAGGCGGTTCAGAAGAAGTGGATGCGACCACTGGGACAGGAAGTTTAATGGCCTTTCGTTTCGGACTTTCACTCGAACTCATCATCAGATACAAGCAAAGATAAGGGCAGTTGAGGGACAAAAGCTGCAGTACTTACAGTACGTTGATGCCGTGGGACCACATGCGTGCCCTCCAGATCACCGCTGGGGGTCGTAATCATTGCGATGATGACTCGTCAGTCGGCGTTCGAGCCGTTGACTGTCGCAATTTCATCTTCCGTGATGGTTATTGACGTGATGAATACTCGGCAATTCGGCTCTCTGCCAGTGCGATTGTTGCTCGCCCGCGCCCTCCCCATGTGCTTGATTCCCCTGCTCAGGGAGTGTCTCAGCACTTAATATGGCTAGTAAACTTCTTGTTCCAGTGATCGCATCTTCTTCCAAGAGTGAAGTTTGTAAACTGTTCATTCGAAACACAATAAGGACGCTGGGATATTAGCGGTTACTTGTGAAATCGCTTGATTCCCGAAGAACAGGATGACTTTGGTTCGTAGAGGCTGTTCCTGATTCAACGAGGCGGCCCGGTTTAGCTACTCTTATTGATCACTAAATAGACCGGTACAATATACCATACTTGACAGCCCGGGTCCTAGCCAAAAGTCTAGACACGTTTTTCGCCGATATTCTGCTGCCGTATGGCACAGCTGCGAGGGGTTCGGTTCATCATGGGGTATCCCTATAAGTCTCAAATAGGCAGATCTACTACAAGTTGGCGATGACTTTTTTGAGGAAATTAGAGAGCCACAAGTAAATAGACTCTTGTCTGCTAGAATAGTAGGCAGTGCGTTGTTATCTAATGGTTGGCAATGCGACCGCGAGTATCTCAAGGACAGTAGTCCGTCCGGCAGTGTAATGCTTGTGTGGCGCAGCGCGAGAGAGGGGAATGCTTTATTTTGAAAATAACTTTCAAAACTTTCAGCAAAAACGGTTCTCCAGTACACATTGATTACCATAGAGATTAACAGGTACTGGACAGTTGGACATAGTTATATATGAAGAAAAAAGGGCTTTAAGGTGCAAGATCGAGTTTTTGTTTTTCAACATCTTTGCAGGTGAGATACCGGGATAGAAATGGCAGTATGGAATTCGGATAGGCCGAAGTGCGGCAAGGGATGTGGCGGAAGCATCGACGCATGGGGCGTAAGGATTTCGCAGTCATTAACTCATTATGAAGGGGATGAACGGTGTCATTCAGAATTCGGTCAGCGAATTGCTCCACCGAGTTGAAGTGTCCCTGCACGATGATATCAACTAAAAGATGATAGGAAACACCAGCAGCAGAGGCGAGCATTCGAATGACACGTTTAAAAATAATTAGATCTTTTTTAAGTAAAGCTGGAAAAATAACTGGAGAACAATAAAGAATGATAGACAATCGGTTAGTCTGAATGCCTGAACTACAATTCCCTAGATCGGCGGAGCGACCGCTTCATTCGGCTTGTGATAACTGAAGGACACGAGGCGCTGGAAACATGCCTGACTGGCATGGAAATAAGGGAATCGCCTGGGAATGTTGTCCACTGATCTACCTCGATTGCGGGATCAGGTGGGAGCTTGCCGTTTTCCTCCTAGGCTTCAGTCACGAGCCTCCACAAACGATTGAATGGTAGTGAGTCATAAATGATCACTAAATGATATTGAGGTAGACGAGTGGAACGACAAACACGTTGCTACTGCGGTCTGTCCGCGTCCAGTTGACTGTTGAACCAAGAAGTCTGTTAATGGGCTGCGGTCACACAACAGTTCGACCGTCGTTGCTGACGATGTAACCCGTGTGCTCCACAACATGTTGAAACAGGCACGGTGACTTGAGCATGAATTAGGTTATTGTGAGAGTAGACTTGCACAGCGTCTACCACACTCTCTCCTTCCCCACCTGAGCCCGGTGTCAAAACAGAGTCAAGAAGACTGGAGGCGGGGTAGGCCGCAGGTGGCTGGCACGGTCGAGCCCGCACCTTGGCGCTCCACTCCACACCCCCTGGTCCACACAGGAAATGACCAGGCCTTCAACCAGCATCAATGTGGGGTCGCAGGAGTCCCAATGTGCGCAACCTCTGTCGGCAACTGGGTCTGCCATCGCACCACCCCGAGATGTTGGCATTTGCCATGGTGCGCAAATCCGATAACGCCTGCCAGGATCCGATGTGGCTCCTGTGTTGGTCAATCGCATCTACCACGTGACCCGTTTTAGGTGCACTGCGCGGTCACACACCGCGTCGGTTACCACCAATCATGAAACAAGTCAATTAGCAGCGTCACCCATTGCCCTATCCTAATTATAGGACCGAACCCGATCACTACGTCGGAGTTCTCGCAGAGGATCCTATGGCGACTTGCGAGAAGTGTCAAAAACTAGTGTGACTTGGATGGTCATTTTTGAGTTATGGCTTGGGTGGCGATTACAAATACGTCGAAACTAACCCGCCAGTGTCCCATGTCTCTGGCGGAAACTTCTCCACAGTGAACTCTTACTACGACACGTGACGTTTCTCATGAAAGGTTAGTCGAAATTATGAAGTATGGTCTTGTTTAAAAATGAGCGCCTAGGTGGGCTTATAGAAAGGATTGTCGGGCAGAGTAATCCCAAGATTGCGCCAATCACGTCAGGATGTCGGCTTTTGAACGTCATCCTTTCCGGTCGCCTGTACATAAGTAATGAGATTTTTCACTTATTTTCGATACTTTATGAATTAAAAAATATTTTGTAGAAAGCCTGTAAAAAAGATAATGTCTTGCTTTCATTTGGAGGTAACTTACGTCTTTTCCGTATTTTATACTCACGGAATGGGCGCTTTTCGTTTTAAAAACTTTGTAATCATGCAATTTCTTGAGATCCTGAATGTTACTTAAATGGGTTCAAACCGCTTTCCGTTTACTAATGTTTCTTGTGAAGTATACAATGTGTTCTGTGCTGTCTGGTAATTTTTATGAGCCTTATATGGTATGTTTTTAATGGCACTAATAGATGTAAGACTTCTCTTCGATGTGTTACAGGTTGTAATTTGAAACTGTAAACGTAAGTGCTATGGCAGACCTGGTTAAAAATCATGCGGAAACTGGCATTTTTTATAAAATCGAAAACTACATTTTCTCCGAGTATGAAATCTGAATAAGATGTTATATGCCACCAAATAAATTCCAGAATAAATCTTTTGTGTCTGTCTTCCATAAAATATATATAAGTTTATAAGGGCACGTAAACTAAATGAGAATAATGCGTATTAGTCAGGTAGTTGCTCTTTATTTTATGGTTTTTCAGGCAACCGGAAATAGACGTATTAGAAATCCGGTATTCTGACTCGGAAAAGACCACCAGGGATAATACCTGGTGAAAATCAGTATGATGCAGTAGATGTGCTAACTCATAAAATGATAGGAAAGATTTTGAAATGCGTTTTCGACTCCAAAAGACTACTTAATATGGTTGTAATATTAATCACCGTACAGTATAATCCCATAATAATTCAGTTCCTTCAGGATGCCGGCTTTTGAGCGAATTTCTTTTTGGTCGCCTGCAAACGCCACACTCTGTAAAAATGGCCACTTAAGTAGCATGCATTGTTCTCATTGATTTTCGATGTCCTTATAAATTCAAATATATCTTATGGAAAACACGCATATAAAAAGTTGTTCTTTTATTTATTTGCTAGAAAATGACGTATTCCTTAAATTTTATAGTTGAAAAAGGGTATACTTAGGTTTTAAAAAAGTTTCTAACAATGAGATTATTTAAGGCCGCGAAATACCCGTTCATAAAACATTGTGTCTCTGAATTTACTAATGTTGCTTGTATAGTTTATAATATGGCCCAAATCGACTGCTAAATTTTATGAACCCTACATAACCTGCCTTTTCCGCACACGGAAAATATACAGCTTGTAGTTTTGAAACCCTGAATGCAAACTGCAACGACAGGTCGGGTTCAAAATTAGTTCGGAATTGGAACAGCTTTTTAAAACCGAATTATACCAAAGACG